TTTTAGATACGATTTATTCGGCAAACTTTTGAACTGACGTCATCAGTTTTTTGTAGAAGATAACCAAATATATTTTGACTAAAAATTTATTATGCTCTTTATAACCTTAAAACATCTGCAAGATTTCAAAGCATTCGGTTTTGTAGTTCCCGATTAAATCAATAAAATAAATTTACGCATTCATTAATTTTTTTGAGTCACCCTGTATATGCAAATCGAAAAAATTTGAATGGAATGATAAATCACAAGAAGAGACTCACCATATTTTGTACATTTTAGATAGGATTTATTCAGCAAAATTTTGTGGTGACGTCATAAATTTTTTAGGGGGGACGACCAAATACGTTTTGATCAAAAATTTACCATGCTTATGATAATTTTAAAATATCTTCAAGATTTCGAAGCATTCGGTTTTGTAGTTCCTGAGTAAATCAGTAAAATAAATTTACGCTTTCATTTATTTTCTTGAGTCACCCTGTATATGCAAATCCAAAAAATATGAATGGAGTGATAGATCACAAGTACAGACTGATCATATTTTGTACATTTTAGATATGATTTATTCGGCAAATTTTCGAGCTGACGTCATCAAGTTTTTGGAGGGGATAAGCAAATATATTTTGACTAAACATTTATTATGCTCTTTATAACCTTAAAACATCTGCAAGATGTCAGAGCATTCCGTTTTGTAGTTCCTGATTAAATCAATAAAATATATTTACGCATTCATTAATTTTTTTGAGTCACTCTGTATATGCAAATCCAAAAAATATGAATGGAGTGATAAATGACAAGTATACAGGCTCATCATATTTTGTACATTTTAGATATGATTTATTCGGCAAACTTTCGAGCTGACGTCATCAAGTTTTTGGAGGGGATAAGCAAATATATTTTGACTAAACATTTATTATGCTCTTTATGACCTTAAAACATCTGCAAGATTTCAGAGCATTCGGTTTTGTAGTTCCTAATTAAATCAATAAAATATATTTACGCATTCATTAATTTTTTTGAGTCACCCTGTATATGCAAATCGAAAAAATATGAATGGAGTGATAGATCACAAGTACAGACTCATCATATTTTGTACATTTTAGATATGATTTATTCCACAAACTTTTGAGCTGACGTCATCAAGTTTTTGGAGGGGATAAGCAAATATTTTTTGACTAAAGATTTATGATGCTCTTTATAGCCTTAAAACATCTGCAACATTTCAAAGCATTCTGGTTAGCAGATTAAAAATAAATTTCAAAATGTTGTTTTATAATTTTGATTTTTTTTCCAAAAATCTGGACGTTTCGGGTGAAAAGTCGATTCAGAGTTGTAAACTACATGTGTAGGACTATGTTATTTTATACAATTGAAAACCCATTTACTATGTACAATTTTGAAGTGACGTTATCGCATTAGTGGTGGGGATGATTAGACAAATTTTGGTTAGCGTTTTACCATCTACATGATATTCTTAATACAAGTACAAAATTTCACAACAATCGGTCGAGTACTTTCGGAGATTATCTGTCTAATAAAAATCCGGGACGGCAGAGGGACAGACGGACAGACGGACGGACAGACGGACAGACGGACAGACGGACAGACAGACGGAAATGGGAGACCTATTTCTTCGTCTTCTAGGGGTCATGAAAGATCGAGAAAACGTAAAAGTAGAGAGTCGGCCGACGGACTCGATTACAATACTTCCTTTGCTTACGCTCGGGAAGTAAAAAGCGTGCTACGCGTATGTTTCAAATGAGTTTCTCCTTTACAAAATTTTGTGAAGTCGTCATCAACATTTTTGCAAGGATAAGTATATGTATGAATTTTGATAGGTGTAGTGTAATACTAATAATAACAGTATGGTATTCCCAAATTTTCGGAAAAATGGAGTGAGCCGTTCCTGATTTAATTAATAAAATAACTGACTCATTCATTAATTTTTTTGAGTCACGATGTATATATATTTCTTTTTGAATATCTACCTGTTGGTATAGTGTTGATAAGGAACGATCATTTTCAAAACTTCAGGAATTACCAACATGAAAATCCATTCGGCTAGTTCATGAAAATGAGCCGTAAAAGAATCATTCAATGAACGCCACCGGCTATCCATGGTATTGAAGGAAACTCTTGAAATTTTAAGCGAGACAAAAATTAGCACAGTTGTATCACTGTTTTTATCTATATTTCTCACAAGTCTTTTGCTACGCATAATTTTATATATACAGAGGGAGTCATTAAGAGCGCGGTCCTCCATTTCGTATTCATTAGAGATAGAAAGCAAGTTAAAGGCCAAAGTTGTACGGTTCTTTGAGAAACAAACATAATTTTAAGCCTCCCTCTAGCTGTCATAACCATTTTTTAATTTAGAAATTCCGATGTGACGTCATTACTATTTTCTTGAATTTGCGTGGCAATGCGTGATTCCATAAGAAATCCCAGTGATCTTATTTTTAAGCTTTAAGCTGTGACAGGAACTATTTGTTTTGACATGCCGTTTATGTCAAATGAAATTCCAACGCCTATTCCGAATGATTGTTGAACTGAACACCCATAACTTTAGGGCGAGGGAAGTTGTGTCGAAATAACCTTCGACCAATTTTTTAACGAACGATTGAAATTATTATATGTAAAATTATTTCAATAAACTTTTAATACTTGAATAAATACTTAACAAATTCCTGTGCGGAAGATATTATTCAATAATCTCTTTATTTTATTATAACGGGTGTTCAATTGAAAAATCACTCAGAGTATGCGTTGGAAGTTCATTTAACATGCAGTTGACGGAAATGTCTTTTCTTATTAGATCCATTTGGCAGAAACATAACCTTACATTTTAAAACAAACAGTCTCTGTCACAGCCAACATTGCAATGGTATGTTTTCAGATGTATGGTTATGTTTCTGGTAAATGGATGTTATAAGTTATAAGAACAGACATGACGTTTGTGTCAAATGAAATTTCAACGCCTACTCCGAGTGATTTTTCATGTGAACACCCGTCACCTTTATATCAAGTTTACAAGTTTTGCAATTGCTTTTTAAACTATTTTTATGTGTTAGACACACAACAAATTAATTACTAATAAATAATATTTTTTATGTATTTACACTTATAGTCTGTTGTGCAAATAAGTTTGTGATAGCCACCACTTGTACATATACATATACATATGTACATGTAAGCCTTATAAAAAATTACTCTTGTTTTTTGTATGTGTCTTTTTTTAACGCTGGCCATAGGGATTTAAGTGCTAAAATTTTGGTCGTGTTAATGAGTCTTTTATAAATCGGATCGGTTTTAGTACATTTTATTGTACAAAAAAAAAAAAAATACGGAATTATAATATATTAATAAAACTTAGCTTACGCTCGGGAAGTAAAGAGTTGACTAAATTCGCTACGTATTGCTTGCCCAGGAGGCCATGACCTAGAGTCATATCATAACAGCTGCGAATTTGTGGCGAATTTAATAAATTTATTTTTATTGTAATTCCGTAATATTTTTATGCGATCAAACGAACTTAAATTGATTTATAAAATACTAGTATAATATTTTGCAAAATTTCACTTCAAAATCCCTGCTGGAAAACTCATTAACACGACCAAAAGTTGTAGCACGTAAATCCCTTTAGCCAACGCTAAAAAAGACACTGTATATTAATTTTAGTATTTTTGTTTGCAAATCCATTCATGTTTACTAAATGTTCTACTTACAGTTTTACATACATTTGATTTTAAAAGGATCGTCAATAATTTGAAATTTATTGTTTAAAGCAATTGATTAGTGATAAGATAACTAAAATTTTTAGCAGTAGTAAAACATTTTATAAACTAATAAAGTACATCGAACCTAATATTTTTTTTATTTCTGCTTGAGTAATCATTGATCAGTAATCAATTACATTAAACTATAAATTTCAAATTATTGAGTTTACTTTTAAAATCAAATGTTCTGCAAAATTGGAAGTAGAACAGGGAGTAAACGTGCATGGATTTGCGAACGAAAATGTTGAAATGTAATAGGAGTATATAATTTTTATAAAACATTCTATAAACTACAGGAAATATTTTGACATTGCTTTGAAACTACATTGAATTTAATTATTATTAAACTAAATATATGGTTGAGCAACGCAAAAATCTTGGTAGTTTTAAATTAAACGTCACTCTGTAATACACCAAGTTTCCGATCACACCAAAGTGGAACTAAAAATTTGCTATTCTGTATGATTTAAAACATTAACAATAAATTAAAATTTTTGGAAAATTGTATGTTATCTTTTCATTTTACCTTGTTATTAATAAAATCAATCGCAAGATGGAAAAACCTGGAATCGTAATATAAATTAAATAGTTGTAATAAATTTAGTTTTTTTTTATTTATTTTATTTATGCAACTAATTTTGCAATATTTTGTAACTTTTGTTGTATTACGGCAGTCTTAAAATAAAATGTTTGGGTGTATGCTAATTTTATAGTACACTGCATATTTAATGCAACAAAATTATTAGTAAAAAAAGATCGTAGCTGATGAACACGATCAGAATGTTCGTAATTTAAATTTATATATCAAAGTTTCATTGATTATTATTATCAGCCAATTTGTTTACAATTATATTGGTAATTTTGAAGATAACGGAAATTAACTTATACTATTTATATTCACAGAAAAGACACATTATTAACATAAACAAAAACAATATTGTTTTTAGAGGTTTTTCATGAGGAAGCAAATGATCTTACTTTTCTTAGTAACAGATAACATATTTATCTTCATAAAGAACTTGCCACTGGTAAAATACGTAAGGAAAAACACAGTTAACAAATCTGAGAAATCTCGGTTAAATTTCTCCTTAATTGTAGGAATACCTACCAACTAATTGAGAGGTGAAATCCCAGCGACCGCATTATGTTTAGTGTTTGATAAATAGACAAGACAACGACATGGAAGTTCCGCAACACGCGTGTTGTGTTATTCTCAGAACAGTCCGGTTGATGACACATTGTAGATCGGCAGCGGTAGCAGCGACACGCCACGGACAGCAGCTTTTAGCAGTGCTGAACATACCCTCCGGAGCCTTGGGGATCCCGATGGACAGCCTCTGACGCAGGCGTGACGTTCGCTTTTCGCAACAATGAAAGGGCTGAAGCCGAGCGTGGGGACAGCCGAAGAAGGAGGGGTTCAACTACATATAACCATGCCCCACGAGCCCCAATACACACCTTGGTTTGCTTCAAGTCACCAGAAGCGTGTAATTAGAAGCACTTCGACAGACGGTTGTTACTCATAATCGTGGTCGAATAAACGTCTTCAGATTATACGTAATCTCCAGCAGTGAAAACATAGTGCTTTCAGGCTGAAAAAAATTTACTAGTTGAGTCTTTTATCGAAACTCTGGAGTATCCCACCATGGCTGCTGTGGCTGCTGCACAGAAAAATCGCGAAATGTTCGCAATTAAAAAATCGTATAGCATTGAGGTAAGTTTTTTTTTTACATATTATCTTTAATTTCTAATTTTACATGTTCCGCTTCAAAATCACTGTGAGTAACAAATAGTATGAAGTTTTCATTATTTAATTTTTTAACAATCTTCAGTTAAACTGTATTTTAAAACCTGTTTTACATCTACCTGAAATATCCTTAGTTAAAAATATCAGTTTATGTATCATCAGTTGTCTTTTATTGCCTTTGTTTGTATGCTAATACAAGATATATTTTTTTAAAACAGTGTTTTGATCTAAAAAAAAACAAATTATATCTAGGTTTTTGCATCTAAACTTTATTACGAATAAAAATGTAAGTAATAATTACAACTCCTACAAATATTTTAATAACATCATTAGTTAGATTAGATACTACCTACGTTTAATACATTTAATCATTAAATGCATTAACTTTTGGGAAACAAAGCAGTAGTAGATAAATAAACAAGTTTGTTTAACAAAATGAAGGATTTTAGACTTAAATAGGAAGAAATACGTGTAAGTTATTAACTTTTTTCAAAAAATTAAAAGATATATAAATCTTACAAATAATCTTATATCATATAAAATTCACTATTAAAGAACTAAAAATAAATATATTGAATTTTGTGTTAACGAAGTGTAATATATATTTTCAAGGCAAGGACAGATATTATTATTTTACAATAGTGTATTAAATTTATGTTGAAACGGTATTAAATTATCAACTGATTTGCAAAATAGAATTGTTCCGATGTCCTTGAAATATCAAGAATGATTGTTACCCAAAACTAGTTAATTAAAGGTAATAATTTAATAGAAATTGTTTCGCCATATCCGTTGAACAATTTACTAAGTTTATACTCTGTATACAAATAGATTTTAATTAAAAATTAGTTAGGTAACGTTTCTTTGTATAAACATGCAAACCTCTAAATTGATTGAAAGTATAATTAGAAAAAAAAAACAAATATCAGATTTGCGCTTAAAGAGTTAAGAGTAAAAATTAATTGCTAATCTTTTGTTCCGCAAATATTGCGAAAAGATTTATTCGGTGTTAAAATATTGTGACTATTGATTAGCGAAAGTAAATTTAAAAGGTATTACGACACCATTAGAGTTCCGTCCACATACATTAACACAAAAAATAAGTTGTAATGATAATTATTTTAATTACAAGGATACTGATTAAACTAAGATCATGGTCGGAGAATGCATAAAATCCTAAGGCAATGTAAATGTACCATGACCTTGCTATGAGGGCATTCCATACCTACCTCCAACACTAGCGATTCTTGCCCCTCACTCGTCAATAACAAGTGACCCTACTTCTGATTTACAAGGATTAATACTTAAAGCACTTTGAATAAAATAAATTATTTCGAAATGTTCATTTAATTTTCCAACTCCGTTTGAATTTATCTATTACGTTCCTTCAACTTCGGGCGACGTTTCCTGTCTTTAACTTGTTAACGAAAGAAGAGTTTAGGGAACAATTTCCTGTCGTCATTTGACTTCCGTCTGTCGGAGACAATGCTATGCGTTAATAAACGGTTTTCTTACAGAATGGTTATCCAGCAAGACGACGTTCTCTTGTTGACGATGCTCGATTTGAGACTTTGGTGGTGAAGCAAACCAAGCAAACTGTTTTAGACGAAGCACGTCTTCGAGCCAACGGTAAGTTATATTTTTGTGTTGCTTTGCATGAGATATATGTTGCATGAATGTTTTTAGACTCTAGTGTTGATCCTGAAATCGAAATTGATGAAACCTCTACCCAAAAATCCGGCGAAATTTCCGAACAAGGTATGTAACACGTATTCATTTCACTGTCACTATAATTATAATTTATTCGCATATGATGCTGCGATTGCAATTTACAATATGAATCAAAGGCAGTTCTCTTTTTTAAAAAATAGCGGTAAAAGCTTAATTGTCTTTTTTCATCCACTCTTAAAAGTGTTATAAAACATAATTGCATTGAGAGCAAAGTTACAAGAAAAGTGCGAGACCCATTTCATCTGGCTTTTATAATGTCAAAAGTCAATTTTCACCCTCCATTTGTCGCGGAGAAATACATTCAGAAGTTAAGCCTTGGAAATATTGCATCCGCAACTTCAGGAAAATAAAGTGGCGTTAAAATAATGACCCGATTTTAACTTAATGCTATTTCCGCAGACACCGGACTAACCGAAGAAGAAGTAGTCCTTTCTAATGCTATCGCTGAAGGACCTGAAGCTGAGAAGGCTTTGCAACGTGCCGCTTTAATACTTCGCTTACGCGAAGGAATGAATTCCTTATCACGTGTACTTAAAAGCATTGAAAAATATCAAGGATTAGTTTGTCATTTAGAAACACGTCCTAGTCAAAACGATAATAATCAACTGGATGCTCTTATAAAAGTTGAAATGACGCGAATCACCCTTCTACAACTGATTAAATCGCTTCGCCAGTCATCATCTCTAGAACATGTGACCCTTATTGGTGAAGACAATATTTCAGCCAAGAATCCGTGGTTCCCCCGACATGCTAGCGATCTGGATAACTGCAATCACCTTATGACCAAATATGAACCCGATCTTGACATGAATCATCCAGGTTTTGCTGACAAGGAATACCGTGCACGACGTAAAGAAATTGCCGAAATAGCGTTTGCTTACAAATAGTAAGTAATTTATTACATACACGAATAACACATTATATTTTAAATGTAAATCTTTTAGTGGTGATGCTATTCCATTCATTGAGTACACAGAAACTGAAAATAAAACATGGGGTGCTGTTTTCAACACTGTCCTTGACCTAATGCCTAAACATGCTTGTGCTGAGTACTGTCGTGTATTTAAACTGTTGCAAGAAGAAGGAATTTTTACAGCGGATCATATACCTCAGCTTGAAGAAATGTCCAATTTCTTAAAACGCCACACAGGATTTTCATTAAGACCAGCCGCAGGTTTATTAACAGCTCGTGATTTCCTTGCATCACTCGCTTTCCGTATCTTTCAAAGCACCCAATACGTCCGTCACAAGAACACTCCGTATCACACCCCAGAACCGTAAGTGTTGCATTTAGGTTCTCTGTCATCAAAGAGCACCCTAATTAAATTAAAACTCCATTATAAGCCCGTAGCTCAGAGTAATTATTCTCGTACCAGCAATTAGACTCTCATATTTTAACTCGCAATTACAATCTTTTAGTATGATTAAATTTGTAATCCGATTTTTTTTACTGATGAAAATCGGACGCATATAAAGATAAAAGATAAGATTTAAATTTAATTTCTTGACTGAGTCTCTTGAGAATTAAGAAATAGGAGTAAGACTGAACTGATCGGATTTTTATTTATTTCGTAGAGACTGCATTCATGAGCTCCTCGGTCACATGCCTCTGCTTGCCGATCCAAATTTCGCGCAATTCTCTCAAGAAATTGGACTTGCCTCCCTAGGTGCATCAGATTCCGAAATTGAAAAATTATCAACGGTGAGTTTTCTGCAAATTATGATACTTTTAAAGGAATAACAAATGGACGAGCAGTCGTCTCCTGCTATAAATGCGACTAGCATGTCATGGTCAAGTCTAGATACGCGTGACCGGTAAATGAAAAGGTGTATTGCTGTAGATATTTGTTTAATGCGAACATGGTCAACGTATCTTGCGAAATCAAAGAAACTAGGTTTATACCAATTTCAAATACTAAAAGGGTGATTTTATAACATTTTACAGGTTTATTGGTTCACTGTTGAATTTGGTCTCTGCAAAGAAAGTGGAGTTGTGAAAGCCTACGGTGCCGGACTACTTAGTGCATACGGTGAACTTCTGCATGCCCTAAGCGATAAACCTGAGCTGCGACCATTTGAACCTGCCGTGACGGCAATTCAACCTTATCAAGATCAAGAATATCAACCCATTTATTATGTTGCAGAAAGTTTCGATGACATGAAAGATAAATTCAGGCGGTGGGTGTCTGCTATGTCGCGACCATTTGAAGTAAGATTTAATCCACACACGGGAAGAGTAGAAGTATTAGACTCTGTAGAGAAACTTGAATCACTTGTTCACCAATTGAATACTGAAGTTCTTCATTTATCAAATGCTATCAATAAAATGAAGTTGCCGTCATATCAGTAAAAATTTTGTGAATTCTAGAGAGTAGCTGAGTGACTGGAGCTATTCTCTTTGCTTTCATTGGCATTGTTGTATAAAGTTGTCATTATTTGTAACATAGTATTTTATTTTTAATTATTTTTATAGTAGTCGTAGTGTAGACAAGTGAACAAGTAGCTTGCGATCTCACTTCAGAAGTTGCACCTATTTAGCTGCGATATTTTTGTTAATATTATTAATTTAATTTCTCTACATGTCGCTTATTTATTAGTGATATTAATGTAGAGGCATGTTAAACTATTTATTTAATTGCACCTGCACGAAATGATTATATATTATATGTCTGATATATGTTTAAGTACTGTTTGTTGTAACATATAAAAGAACTATAAAATAAAGTGTGCAATGATCATGAAACAAGTTCATTTTTAAAATACCCACTTTAATAATTTATATCTAAAATATATTTTAGTTTATTTATTTCATTAATAATAATGAGCGGATGCACAAATTCTTTCCTTTGGATGTGTATTAAGTCACGTTAAGAAACATCACTCATTATCTGAATTAGAAAAAAAATACTAGCATCAAAACTGTATGATCCCATTTACGATTTCTGTACTGGAGTTAATACATACATACAAAAAAAATATTGAAATTTGTAATGACTATTGAATTTCACATATTTTGTAACAACATTTGAGTTTGGAGCTTAAATGTAAAAACTATAATGTGAATTAAACTGATAACTGAGTATTATAAGCAAACTGAGGGTAGTAAGGTACCAGGCAACACAAACTACAGCAGCTACATAACAAAAATTTATGTAACATCAGTCGCATAATATTATACAGGTTGTTTAAAAGATGTGTTACTAACTCAACGGTTTATCATTACTCATTATGCTATACACCATTAAAAAATTCCTTAGGTCAATTTAACATTCACTTATAAAAGCAAAATATCGAGTTAGATAGATAGATTAAATAACTGGTCTCAAGTTGTTTCGACAGAACTTCCTTCACTCTTGAAGTACTAAAACATACCTATTCATCATTTTCGAAAAATTATAAAACTTGCGGATTATATTTTTAAGACGGGCGTATTCTCACCTTTTCTAGAAAGTGAGGTGACTCGTTCTTAATTTGATCAATAAAAAATTTGTTATGCCGTCATAAACTTTGATAATATACAACACGAGAGAAAACGAGGAAAAAAAAACGAAAGGCCAAGGTTGACATCGAACGCGTTTCGCACTTATATCTTATCCACTAGACCACGATTGGGATAACTAGTACGCTGATGATTAACTGTTATTATAATTTGGACGGTTAAGGAAAAAACGGGAAGCGGATTCATACTAAACACGTACAGGAGTATACTATTATATAACAGTTAAATCATATAAACGGAGAATTCTTTGAAACGACGTCATCAAATTGGTGGGGATGATCAGCAAAAATTTGGTTAGAGTTTAACCATCTAGATGATATTTCTAATAAACATACAAAACTTGACAATAATCGGTCCAGCAGTCTCGGAGATTAATTGTCTAATAAAAATGGATACATACACCAGACACACAGACAGACATACAGACGGAAACGGGAGACTACTTTTTTGTACGGTAGGGGTCATGAACCGTCGAGAAAATATAAAGGTGGCCATTCGCCGATGTGCTCGATTACTACACTTCCTTAGCTTACGCTCGGGAAATAAAAATAAATTAAAATATGGTCAAATACATAAGTACAAAAAAAAATAAAATTTGAAGGCCTATGTTTGGGCTCAAGAATCTTTGGAATTATTTTTCTTTGCTCAATGCCGCGTCGTAGAGTACTCCATTTTTTAATCACTCACTTGATATTATGTTGCAATTGTAGTGGTACACATTTTTTAAGGCTATATATGGTTGCAGTAAAATAAGATCTTTTGTGTAAAATCCAACGAGTACAACATTGAGTAGACCGTAGTCGTAAATAACACTGCGCTTACCATTTGACACCTCCTAAGAGACCATGGGGTGTACTTGACATTTTGATTTAAAAGATTAGTCGAAGGTTATTTCAGCAGAACTTCCGTCGTCCCTGAAGTAGAATAAAACAAATCCAGTTTTTTCCAAAAATTATAAAATTTAATTATGCGAATTTTATTTTCATATGAGAACTCGTGTTAGTTAAAATGCATATATGTATGTAACGTTAAAGTAAATGTAAAGAAGCGTGCGGCGGGTACGTTTTAAATGAGTTTTCCCTTAACAAAATTTTGTGATGACGTCAACAACATTTTTGCAAAGACACGTATATCACGCTTTAGATAGGTGCAGTGTAATACTAATGATACCAAATTTTCTAGTAAATGGGGTGAACCGTCCCCGGTTTATTCAATAAAATAAATTGACTCGTATTAATTTTTTGAGTCATCCTGCATAAGTAATTCTAAAAACTATAAGCGCGTTGATAAACCACACGTATTCAGTCATAATATTTTGCATATTTCATAATTAAATATGAGATGACGTCATCAATTTTTTTGGAAGGGTTAAAGGAATAAATTTTGCGTAACGATTTACCATGATTACGATAACCTTAAAATTTTACAAAATTTCACAGCATTCGGTTTTGCAGTTTCAAAGTTAAATTGCAAAATATGTTTATACAGTTTCGAGTTTTTTCCAAAAATTCTTGATGTTTCTGGGGGATATTCGACACGGATTCACACACCACAAGAGCAGGAGTATCTTATTTTATAAAATTTAATAAAATGTTGGATATGACGTCATCCCATTCGTGGTGGGGATAATCAGCCAAATTTTAGTTACCGTTTAACCATCTACATGATATTCCTAATATACTCACAAAATTACGTGTCTACTAAAAATGGATACAGACACCAATCAGACAGACCAACAGACAGACAGACAGACAGACAGACAGATGGAAACTGGAGACCACTTTTCTCGTACTTTAAAGGTCACGGCACGTCGAGAAAATATGAAAGTGACAATTTGCCCGATGGACTCGATTACTAACTATACTTACGCTTGGGAAGTAAAAGAGAAGTTTTAGGTATACCTATATAAGACGAAGTTGTCCTGCACTAGTAACGGGCTGTTGTGATGATCATGTTGACTGTATAAAATAATTAGTCTTTTTAGCAAAATATACTTCCAGAATTTTCCCGAATCAGTAATCACCAACATTTATTATATTGTCAGTTTCACCCTTGTAGACAAATATGCCTAGAATTATTATTTAGCTGCATTTTGAGCGCAAATTTCGTCGATACAACTTGTACCCTTTATTACATTATTATTACAACCCACCACTGACCCGGAAATGACCGGCATTCAGGCAAGACAGTTGATTACTGTGTTTACTGCCCTTATAAAATGCGGTACATCTTCAATTGATTCGTTATAATGCTCTTTGAAGAAGATGTCCAGGTAACCCCAGAACTGAAGTCCGAAAAAACAGTACTGTTCTGGAAAAAACAGTACGGTTGGTCACCTTAAGATAACCGTGTGTGTGTGTGTTTGTTTGTTAGTTTGTTTATTTCAAGTTGCTGTGATTTTAATTTATAACGTCAAGTTAATAATATACATAGAGGACCCGGGTGGGTTAGGTAGCTTCGTGCTTGCCCGCTACACCCTGGGTCGTGGGTTCGATTCCCGCCCGGCTCTGGGTGTTGTGTATGTCCCCCGTTCCCCTGTAATTGGGCCTCCGGTCTGTTGGGGAACGTAATCAAATAAAAAAAAAAAAATAAATAAAATAAAAAAGTTATGAATTGAAGTACATAAGTAAGAAAACACTAAAAAACCTGTATAAGCCTCTAAGGCGTCTTCTATTCGCAATCGTTATCGTGTACTGTGGATTGCAGACACACATATTATAACCACAGTATTGAGATTAATCAGTAGAGACAACTCGTGTCGGCGCCTTTGATCTTTCTGACCCAAGGTTAGTTAATAGAGAACAGGTTACCACATAAACGAGTATGTGGGCAAAATCGCTTACGGGGGAGGAGAGGTGTCAGCCCCATGTGACGTCAAAATGAGGTTGGTATTACTTGGGAATTTTTAGTAACTTGTAATTTTGAGTTGGTGTGACCGATCAGCTGATGCCTTTAATCTGTACGATCTGTACCGCTAATTCTGACGTTTGGTGTTAGTACTGCGACTCGTGTAACCCTATTTTGCCTCGTGTTTTATGTAGCACTAAGTATTTCCTCTGCGTAGTTTGTAGTTAGCTAGTACACTACAATCAAAAGATTTGTCGATTTATAATCATGCCAGGACATTATCGTTTTAAGAAAAAAATTGTTACTCGGATGACCAATTTGTTAAAAAATATGGTGGAGCTGCCAGAAGAAATCACAAGGGCTTTTTTAAAACAGAGAACTTTAATTAGAATTAAATATTTATATAATAAATCTGAAAATAAACAAAAGTATAAAAAAATTAAAAAAATTAGCTAAAACTGTTTGATGTATGTAAATAAAAATTATTATAAAATTTTATGTATTTTTACTTACCAGTAGTGTTAATGTTTAGTTGTAATATTTTCACAAGTTTAATATTACAGTGGATTAAAGTGGTGTTTGCCTAACAAAAAAAAATTAAATTTATTTGTGTTTAAGCTAAAATGAAATGTTTTGATATATTACTAGAAAGGAAAAGTAAACCAGTAAATGCAGATTTTCAGATTTTTTGCATAAAAAAAATCAGTTAATAGTGTCGCATTTGTTATTTTCAAGCTCTACTGGCGGCAAAACGTTTTTCTTGAGGTTTATTAAATTGTTCTTTACACAGGATTGAAATTTGCGACGTAGAAGCGGTCACTTGATTAAAAGTTTCCGTTTTTAGTGCGTTACTCGAGTATTTAAAACGGGCGATTTTCGAGCCATTTGAGAGCCCCTTGTGACGTATCAATATGGCATCCCAATGTGGCAACCTTATCTATTAAATGACTTTGTTTCTGACCCGAATTTTAAGCCGTCATCGGTGGTCGTTGCCCAAAATATTTCTAGATGTCGCCACCCAATTTAAAAAGGATCACAAACGCTTCACTTTAAAATTGATTCGTGTACACAATTTACTACACTTTGTGCAAATGAATTTTTGGAAAAGACTTAAAAATAGTGTATGTAATAACAATAACATTTTGTAACTAGTTGTTAGAAACCACACAGTCTATTATAATAAATAATAATTAATTAAGCGCCCTATAACAGAGATGCCGTGTTGAAATTTAGATGTGGCCCGCTTCTCTGATTACGATTTTACGTTTCATTAATTTCTTTTTGATGATGGTTGTAAATGGTTATAAAATTCAATGTTATTAGGAAACGCTAATATATGGTCCCATCAAAACATGAACAATGC